TACCAACCCCACCTTATGCTGACACTAAGAGTGACCGTCACTGGCTTCAGTGAGAAATGTGATTGCAACCACCTGAAGTTAGATCAGGAGAGGCCCTTGAGGAATTGATAGAGCAAAAGGTCAGAAGGGACCATTGTGATCATCTCGTCTGACCTCCTGTACAACACAGGTCATAGGACTGCCCTGAATTAACTCCTGTTTTAACTAGAGTGCATCTTTTAGAAAAAACATCTGATCTTAATTTTAAAATTGCCAGTGATGGAGAATCTACCACAATCCTTGGCAAACTGTTCCAATAGTTAATAACATCACTGTTAAAAATGAGCACTTTATTTCTCGTCTGAATTTGTCTAGTTTCAACTTCCTGACATTGGATCTTATTACACCTTTGTCTGCTAAATTGAAGAGCCCATTATCAAAGTTTTGTTCTCCATGTAGGTATTGACAGTCTGTGATCAAGTCATCCCATAACCTTCTCTTGGTTAAGCTAAACAGATTGAGCTCCTCAAGTCTGTCACTATCTGGCGATTTTTTAATCCTTTTATCATTCTCATGGATCTTCTTCAAACCCTCTCCAATTTATCAATATCCTTCTTGAATTGTGGCCACCAGAACTGGTCACAGTATGCAGGATAAGGAAGTGGGACATTAAAGAGGTGACTTGTGGCAACCCCAAAAACATAGAGGGCACCCTGGCTGTGATGGTGCTGATCACATTTATGGCTGTAAATACAGCCTCCTTTAGGATTATTAATAAATTCCCTTTGGTGGAGTGGAACGCATTTCAGTATAAAAGCAAATACAGCTGAACTTACTCAGATCATTCATATTCCATGATAAAGTCATATTGCTATTGATTTCAGAATTATCTTCAAATTACAAACTTAAGATTGACAGTATGAATTTCAAGAGAGTTATGCTTCTCTTGCTATTTGAATTATTGATCAAGCTGCTACCGTGGAAGCATTAAACTCTGAAAAGCTAACAGTGATGATTACTATGCTGCTGTTGCTATCTTTCCGTTTAATTTTAGGAATATGCCTTGCACCAGGTATTCTGGGAATTGTAGTTCAAATGCCTTTCTTTGACACATGCTTGATGCAGACGCTTCCAAGATGGAAAATTGCTCCCAACACAGAGGACAATGAACTCTTTCATATCAAACAACAATGAATATTTACACAAGGTAAATAGCCTGCTATTTTTAGCACCATACGTTGATCAGATAGGTGGAAAAAGTTACACTGCCCTGAGGAACCAGAGATCTTGAGGGTTTATTCCTGGAGACCAAGGTATATGTTAAAACCAGCTCGGCCCAAATTCATCCCTCGGGTAACTCTGTTGGCATCAATGGAATTACACTAGAGGTGAATATAGCCCATCCTTTTTAAATATGAAGAATAAGAACAAGTTCACTGGCTTCTGTACTTCTCAGAGTAACACTCAAATATTTTACAAGCTGCATTCACTGAGCAAGAACTGCTGGAAAACCTTGTCTGTTATAAGTACATCCTGTGAAAACGACTTGGCATTGTATCCATATAACTAATTGGGTTGAACATATTATTCCCTTTGCTGTGTTGATGCTGATGCTGCTCAAATTCACCTACTAAAGCTGCTGTTACAAATGCCCAGCAGCCTTCAACTCAAATCTCCAGCTTCCTCTGTCTCTCTAATTAATACAGTGTAGCTGAAGTTAAGACAGGAAACAATTACAGCAAAGGTTTATCTGTCCTCCCCATTTATCATTTTGGAACAGGTTTGGTGCTCGCCTTGACTACAGGCAAGAAGGTTGGATAACAAAGGTTTTCTAGTAGTGTGTGTGTGTTTTAGGGGAAGTTGTTTGCTTATTTATTTGGAGCAAGCTTCATAGAGTCAGATCTGGCTGAAAATTCAAGGATTTCTGTAGTCTTGCTACACTGCATCTATGTCTTGTAAAGTTCAGCCTGGCAACTGCCTCCTTTGCAAAGCTGGTGTCTAAAGGTTGGCCTCTGTTGCTTCCCTAATTATTTTGTTCTTCCAGACTAAACTAAGCTAATAAGCTATACTGAAGGCTCCTAGCAGTCCTTAAACTGCCAAAAGAAGTCTCATAGTGATTACATTCTAGAAATTATTCTGATGATTTAGGATCGCACTTTTCCTTTCCTTTTCTCGTTTCATTAATAGAGACCATCTGCATGAAAACTAGACACCTGCTTTCACCACTGTCTTGCACCAGGTGAAGTAATTTATATCTGTGCAGAGTGGATACAAAAGGCTACCCCATTGCACAGGTGTAAGTGACTGTACAAAGTGCAAAGCAGTGGAGAATCAGGCCCAGGATTTAATGCTTAGACTTGTAATGCAACAATATAAGCATATCCTGGGCCAGATCCTCAGCAGGTGTAAAGCAGTGTATCTTCATTAAGCTCTTGAGAAATACACTGATTTATACTAACTGTGGATCTTGCTCATTATTATCACTATTTATCTCTGTCATGGTACTGCCTGGGGCAGGACCCCATTGTGCTAGGTACTGTACAAATACAGAACAAAGAGACAGTCCAGCATGAAAGAACGTACAATCTAAGTATTCTAAATATCTTGAATGCCCCCTTCTGGCAGCACAAATTATAGACTCAGTACAGGAAATACTGTACTGGGAATCTGCTGCCTATTCCTCAACTGAAATGATATCCTCTATCCATGACATGAAATTTGAGCGGAGTATGATGTAATAAGGAGAAGTGAGGCCCTCAGATGGGGAATAAGTAGCAGGGGCAGAGGGAATTCTAAGCAGCAGAGATCTTCTTGTGTTCATGTAAACATCCTTAATACAGCTCCTTGGCAGACACTGTGTCATTCACCTTGTATGTCTGCACATGGGCAAGTGTATTGTCAGTGCTCAATAAATAATGATCAAGAGAAGGTAAAAACCAGACAACGCACCAGCAAAGCCCTCTCCAATGGGAATGCTTTTCAAAGCTTGTGATGCACAGACCTGCATGGTTCTTTACTTTGAATCTTATTATCGACTTTAAAGAGGCGCTCAACTTTAAATCTGGATCCATGGTTTCCCAAAGCTCAGGGATGTCTGCGTGCAAAGTTTTGGTCTGTGCTCATCTCCGATTAAAACTGAATTCTTTGCCAATAGGAAAACATTTTCCAACAACAAGCTGGGTTGAGGGGGGGGATTGTTTTTGTTTGTTTTTTGTCACAGACAAACATACCCATTCCGCTTGTCACCGTCATCAGGACTAGATGGGAAAAGACCTTTGCAGTCACTACCTGAGGACAGAATGCTGCTATAGCACTGGTACAAGCTACCTCCTCGTGCAACACCATGAGAAAACATGTCACCAGTTAACTCCTGTTAATCCCATGGGGCTGGATTGTAACCCTACAATGAAGCCTGGAAATGGGGCAGTGCACAGCTACACTGCCCCAGGAGCAGGACAGGAACCATCTGGTGATCCCAAGAGGAACAGTCTAGTCCCTGCGGACTCTTTGCTGCTGAGAAAAACAGGAATATAATCTATGCTACCACTTCCCCCTCTGTGCTAGCTCCTGAGATGGATGGGTTAACTCTAATCCATGGATTGTCTACTCTTTCTTAGTGGGAATCCTGGCTTGAGAGGAAAAAATTTCTTATATGAAATTGGAAATGTCTGACTGAGACTTTTGAGTGTAAGGTCCCTACGTGTGTGCAGTAATGAACATTCTCCTGTACACACTGGCACTTAGCAAGGTACAACAATCTGTACGCCCACTTTCAATACCCGTGCACGCAGGGTTAGAATTTGCATCCCATTTGCCACAACGAGTTTTGCATTGCAAATTCTAACACCAGCATGTGTATGCCCAGGTGTTACAATTTGCAATGCATGTGCAGTGGTCGGACCTGCCAACTTTTGGCATATGTACCTTTGCAATTTTGTGTACATACAAGTAGAAGCCATGACAGAGCTCTTTTGCTGATTTATGTCAGCATCCAAACCAGGTGGGTCCTAAGGAGTAAAGAAAAAGAAGCCACCAAATGAGCATTTGATCTGACTTTGGTCAAATGACTGAGCTTTGAGACTGACTCAATATCAAATCTAACTCATCCCAAAGAATTTTATCTAGCTATTGTGTAAACTGCCCTATAGCAGAGCATAACAGGGGGTTCTAACTTGATTTATATCAGGGACATTAATGCATTGAATAATACAGCTTCTCCAATGAAAAGAAGTCTGACAATTTACATATTTTGTCCAGATAGGAGGGAGGGGACAAATGATGGCAACACATGTGAACAATTTGGTTTTGCTGAACGGCTAAGGATTAGATAATTAATCCAATAGTAAGATTGGAGTAGTGTTTCCCCATGCAGAGAGGATTTTTTTAACTAGGAAAATAACATGGAAATATAACAGCTGGACCTGTCATTATGCTGAGCCTGTTAACTGAGATGGTTTTCAGGAGTCATACAGCCATTAAAAAGAGTGGTTCTCAGACACTGACTTTCTGCAGACCTCAAAGAACGAGGGAGAATTTCTCATAGCCAAACCACCGCCTCTCCTCAATCATTCACATTCCCTGCAAGCATCTCAAGGGCTGCTGATATGCCAGGATGATACCCCACAAGAGCAATCAGGAAGGAGAAATGGGAGTACTGGCAAATGTTATTTTGCTATACCAGTGTCACTGGTATCTGTGCAGATATCCAAATTGTGTGGGCATAGCAGAAGGAAACAGACATCAGGAGAAATATCTCCAGAAAAATTAATCTGTTTGCAAAGATACTGTAGATCCATCCCAAAGAAAGCTACAAATGCTCCTGACCACCCAGAGGCAGAAAGCATTTATTTCTGAATATGATGAATTTTTCAATAAGATGTGACTTTCTAGGATTTCAAGGTTGTGAGTCACTTTACTGCATGCCATGGCTACTAATAACTTCACAGTGGCAATAGAGATAAAAAGTAGATCCTCCTCTGTCCAAAGCCCAGTGCCCGGCCACTTGAACTATTATACTTTACCTTGTAGCAGTATAGGGTCTGTGACACACAGCTGAGCTGTTCTGATGAAATCCAGTAGAGGTCAGGGGCAGTTCATTGTAACACAGTCCACCTCAAGAATCCTAGAGAAATGGATTAATATGCAACCTGCGATGATCTCCTGCTGCTGTAGTTACAATAATAAAATAAGTAAATAAAAGCCCTGAACAGGCAAACTCAGACTCCCTTAGATTTACTGCGACTCACGTCTGAAATTGGGCCTACACTTGCTTGTGGCTTCCTCAGCATGACAGGCACACTAAAAGTCTCAGGGTACATGCAAAGAAAAAACACGGCACTGGATCTCAGAGTCCAAGTCAATAGACTCAGGCTCGTGGGGCTCAGGCTGCAGGGCTCAAAATAGCAGCAAATATATTCTGGCTGGAGCCTGTGGTCCCAGACCCTCCGCATTTGCTGGGTTTGTCCTGGGCTCCAAATTCTGGGTATTTAACTGCAATGTAGACAATACCCTTAGACTCCTTTTAATGGCACATAAGGTTCTAGAACCCTGCACCAGCTGTTCTGCAGTTTGTCGCTGCTGTCCAGAACAGGAAGATCCTGTTTGCTTGTGGGTTTGAGTGTCTAGCTGAGGCAAAGAGAAGTAGGGGGAAAGGATAGAGGGATTGTACAGGGAAAACCTCTGTGAACAAGCAAACTCAAGAGAAAACAGTCTGAGTTTCAAGCTTGGGTGCTGTCATTTCTGTACACATTAAAGACAAATCCCTGGAAGGGGGTAAAAGTTTGGACCAGACTCAGAGTGTGCGTATGTGTGCGCATGTGTACTGTCACTGACAGAAGCTGCAAAGCCACCCACCTGCAGTCCCTTAGGCCCAGTCTATACTCCAGAGACTTTGCAGGTGTAATTAAGCTGGCAGAGCCCCCTAGTGGAGATGAAGCCAAAGCTGATACCAGGATTTCTGCCAGCACAGCTACACCACACAGTGATGTTAGCCAAGCCGCCTGTCAGTGAGCACCGTTGCAGGAGTTTTGCTGGTATAGACATATCAGCTAGGGGGTGGGATTTTTTTCACACTCCAAACCAACGTAATTATGCCAGCAAAACTTTGTAGTGTAGACTACCCCTTAGACTCTCCCCCGCTATATCAACATGTAGTTTACTCCTCTCCTTCTACGATTTCTGAATTTGGCTCTGAGGGTACGTCTACACAGCCTGCAGCAGCGAGCTTCCCAGCTCGGGTCGACAGACCTGGGCTTGTGGGGCTCACACTACCATGCTAAAAATAACTGTGTAGAGGCTGCAACTCTAGGGGGAGCCGAGGGTCAGGCTTCAGAGCCACAGCTGCAGTCCAACCGCAACTTTAAAACAATGTCGACACAGCAATTTCTAGTGTGAAAGCCCAAGTCCAAGTCTGTCGATCCTAATACTAATTTAACTTCCTACTGCTAACATGCCTATTGCTCATGCAATAGTGGATGGAAATTTACATAGACGCTCCTGTCCGTTTTGCAAAATAAGAAACTCTTAGGAAACTAGACAACATAAAGCTGCCATAGATTGGAAATTCCTAATAAACTTATTTTTCCCCTCCATCCTCTGGTGTCAGCCTCGGGATAGATAGAAGGGGACAACACAGTGATTGAGGTAGATAAATTAGTCAGGAATAAAATACTAGTCCCTCTAAGGCTACACCTTTATCTGCTGCTCTCCTCTGCCTCGTCTCCTCTCCCTGTCACCTGCTCGTCCAAAGTAATTACATTCCCCGAGGAACAAACAGCAGATGCTATTTGATCAGTTCCACGACCTTTGTGGGGAGCGAAATTAAAAACCAGAGGGATCAACCACAATAGGAGGAAGACATCCTTCATGGCTAAGTTTCTGGCCTGAAGGTTAAATGGCTGCTGTTAGCTGTTCTCAAGTCAACTTTGAGATGGGGAAGTCTGCCGCGAGGGCTCCCATCTTTCTGCTCCCTCCCTCCCAGGAGGCAGAGGACAGCTGTTAATGCAAATGACTGTATCATCACAGTTGCTTGCTCTAGGACATGAGACTCCACATACCATTAATTTGCATGCCATGCATCCCATTAGGCCCCCTCCATGGTTTGGAATGATAAGCACATGCCTTTCCGGGTAACGGTCTGGACGTTCGGTTCAGATAATAACGTAAGTCTAAAAACCAAAGGTCTGGCTGTTTAGCTGGACCCCATGGAGCCACTTGAGTTTGCAAAGTCTAATAGAAAGCACCTCTCTCACAAGATTTTGGGGATTTCCTTTTTCCCAATTAGCCAGAAATACCCGTCTCGTGCTGTGTCGTCTCTTTCATGCACTACATTTTGGGTCCTGATGTGAACAGAATTCGCAAGCCTTCTGAAGTTAGCCTGCCACTACTACTTTAGCAGAGATCACTCAGTTTGTACCAGATGCTGCAGATTAACTCGGATTGGCTCAAACAGCAGACAAGTCCACCACAGAATCACACGGTGTTATGGATTACTGGGAAGCTCCTTAAATCAAGGTACTGAGACTTCGAACTTTATTGATCATGTCTGCACTGCACGGCTATTCACATGCCACTGGCTATACCACTCAAAATCTTGTCCCAGCATGCACTGTGCTCTCTGTCGAACCTGCAAAGGATCTGTTGGGGGCAAGCTACTCTTGGTTGGAAATCTGGAAGGGTATTGCCAAGATATACTAATTCAGTGGCAAAACAGGTCAGCACTGAAGATGAAAGAAGTTAAAGTTAAAGGAGAGGATAAAGCCATGTGCATGTGGAAGAAACAGACCTGAATTCCACAACTGCAGGAGCTGCCAAAGCAGTAACAGGGATCTATGATGAAGAGTGTTTGCCAGAGATTTTCATGCAAGTGAAGTGGACAGGGGGCAGCTGGGATGTGCCAATCTCTCATCCTAGCTCCAATTTTCCAATTGCATTTTGGGAAAGGACTCACAGTAGTTGCTTGACTCTGGGGAGGGAAAAGTGACAGTGGTTCCCCAAATTTGCCAGCATCAATTTAGGAGGTGGTTAACCATCTTAACTTCAATGACATTCTCCAACCCAAGGTCCACAGGGAGGCCAGGATTTTCCACACAGGGGTCCAATGTGCTCATCATCCCTTTACCCCTTAAGTTTTAACCCCATTCAGTGACCTGAGTCTTGGACTACAGAGAGGATGTCCAGGAGCTGCAGGGATTTGTATTGGAGAGAGAGGGGATCTTCATATTCTGGAGGGATTAAAGATGTTCGGTTAAAATATATTCTTAGTGGGAGATTATAATGATTCTGTGATCACGGACAGAGCACTGTGACTAAGTACATTTCATAGTCTACCAAGCATCAAAATACGAAAATGCCTGATACACAGGCTCTCTGTGGCAGAGGAGGGTATAGTAGAAAACCTTTAGGTTTAATGGAATAAAATTGCATCAAAAGCCTAGTTTCTCAATTGCTCTTGCACACTTGCTTGCTTCCTTACTTGCTTGTTTGTGTGTGTGGACGGTATTTTTGGTGCATGTATTTAATTTGCAGCATGACAATCTTCTGCCTGTTGGGACTCTTTCATGCTGCTTTGCTGATCCCCGAAGCATCGGATATTTACTAACACTTGAAACTTCCCCTCACACTTAGCCATGAGCTCATGCTCTGTACAGGAGGAATATTGCAGCACAGGGTTGCATTCACGGTTTTGGGTAGGCACGGTGAATTTTTGGGCCCCTCACACTAGCTACCAAGTTCTCTCCCCATGCTCAACTGACTTGTAAAAAAGGGGTGAGGATGGGATAGAGAGAAATTCTAACTGCTGCCAACCTCTCCCGCCACAAGAGAGGTGGAGCCCAAACACTGAATTGCCACCATCTGAAAAAGTTTCCCATGGTCAATTTTCCACATAAGCTGGGGATCTGCCAGGCCCTGACCACCAAGGGGCTGCATGACCATCCAGGTCAATTTACAGTGATTTTTCCCATTCTTTTATTACATTGTTTAACTCCAGCAGTATGAACAGCAGTGCTCAAACCTGCCAACACACCCCTGTCCCTGAAAGGTACAGAGCCTAGGACACCTGCCAGGGAATTACAGTAAAGTAAGGGAGCATAAACACAACCTAAAATCTGTTTGGGCCTGTGTGTCTTATCTTTTTTCCTTCTCCTTTCTTTCCTTTACCCCTTCCTCTCGCTCATCCCTCCTCTCTCTCTCCCCAACCCCCACAGAGCCGGCTCTAGGCACCAGCAAAACAAACAGGTACTTGGGGTGGCACATTTCTAGGGGCGGCATTCTGGCGCCGGCCATGCTGCCCCTAGCAATATGCCCCTGACGCCCAGTTCCACCTCCGCCTGCTCCCCTTAGCACCCCGCCTCCGCTCCGTTTCTCCCCCCTCCCTCCCAGGTTTGCCGCATGCCAAACAGCTGTTTCGCGTGGCAAGCCTGGGAAGGAGGGAGGAGAAGCCGAGCAGCGGCGCGCTCGGGGGAGGCGGTGGTGGTGGATTGGAGGCGAGCTGGGGCAGGGAGCAGTTCCTCTATCCCCCCCCTTACTTCCTGCGCTCCCCCCCTCGCTCCCCTCCGCTCTGCCTGCTCCCTGAAGGTGCTGCCTCTCCCTCGCCTGAGAGGGAGGAGGGACAAGCAGAGCGGCAGCATGTTCAGGGGAGCAGGCTGGGCAGAGGTGAGCTAGGGCAGGGGAGCCACAGGAAGCAATGACGGGGGGGGGGAGAAATGCAGCATGCCCGGGAGAGGAGGCGGGGTCGGGGATTTGGGGAAGAGGGTGGGAAGGGGTGGAGTTGGGGTGGAGCCGGGGGGGGGCACGAAAGAAAAGCGGGGGCTGCCAAAAATGTTTTTGCTTGGGGCGGCAAAAAGCCTAGAGCCGGCCCTGCCCCCACGAAAGAGGAGGAAGCATCTATTTCATCCTCTCGCTTCCAAGTCTCATCCCTCACTTCCCTGGGCCTTTCCTTTGCAAGCCAGGATATCTTATTCTTGGCTACTTAAAGACACAGTCCCACCTATGAGGGAGAGCTTCACTATTAGGGCTGGTTGAAAATTTTCTGTCAAAACTGATTTCAGCTGGAAATGTCAGGTTTTTGGTCAGAATAGTTGGGCCAAGAAAAAGAAAACATTTGATTT